GCGATTCTCCTGCCTCTGCCTCCCAAGTAGCTGGGACCACAGGCGCCCGCCACAACGCCCGGCTATTTTTTGGTTGCAGCCGTCATTGTTGTTTTGGTGGGTCCGGGCTGGGGATTCGAACCCGCCACCTTAGGTGTACGTGGCTGGCGCCTTAGCCGGGTGAGCTATAGGCGCCGAGCCCATAATCCAGTTTCATATGTACATTCTTCCTCTTTAAGGAAAAGTTTTTAAATTGGCTGCATCCTAAGTATCATGAAATTATGGGTTTGGTGAGCTGTCTTCCGTAAACATTAAAATAAATTCAAACCGGGAGGCACCTGTGGCTCAGTGAGTAGGGCGCTGGCCCCATATACCGAGGGTGGTGGGTTCAAACCCAGCCCCGGCCAAACTGCAACAGAAAACTAGCCAGGCATTCTGGCAGGCGCCTGTGGTCCCAGCTATTCAGGAGGTTGAGGCAAGAGAATCACCTAAGCCCAGGAGTTGGAGGTTGTGGTGAGCTGTGTGCTGCCATGGCACTCTACTGAGGGCAATAAAGTGAGACTTTGTCTCTACATAAATAAATAAATAAATTTAAACCTATTAAAACAAAGTTAAAGTGGGGTGGCACCTGAGGCTCATAGGAGTAGGGCACCGGCCCCATATGCCAGAGGTGGCAGGTTCAAACCTAGCCCTAGCCAAAAACCTCCAAAAAAAAAAGTCAAAGCTATAAAATAATTAATGTGGACTTCCAAAATGGTGAGTGGGGTGGCACCTGTGGCTCAGTGAGTAGGGTACCGGCCCCATATACCAAGGGTGGTGGGTTCGAACCTAGCCCTGGCCAAATTGCAACAAAAAAATAGCCAGGTGTTATGGTGAGCCTGTAGTCCCAACTACTTGGGAGGCTGAGGCAAGAGAATCACCTAAGCCCAAGAGCTGGAGGTTGCTGTGAGCTGTGATGCTAAAGCACTCTACTGAGGGCAATAAAGTAAGACTCTGTCTCTAAAAAAAAAAACCAAAATGATGAGCGGGGATCTTAGCAAATCCTTTCCCTAAAAGCAACAATAAAGCTAACAGAGTTGAACAAGGCTATCGTTTCAGTACTCTGCAGGTTGATAAAAGCATTCAACAAATTAAGAAGTATTTATTCAAGGCTGTACGCAGAGGATCTCACCTATCTGTATTTTCAACACTTTGAGAGGCCAAGGTGTTTGAGACCAATCAGGGCAACAGAGTGAAATCCTCTCTATAAAAAGTAAAAATTAGGGCGGCACCTGTGGCTCAGGGGGTAGGACACTGGCCCCATATACCAAGGGTGGTGGGTTCAAACCCCACCCCAGCCAAACTGCAACAAAAAATAGCTGGGTGTTGTGGCAGGCGCCTGTAGTCCTAGTTACTTGGGAGGCTGAGGCAAGAGAATTGCCTACACCCACGAGTTGGAGGTTGCTGTGTGCTGTGATGCTACGGCACTCTATCGAGGGTGACATAGTAAGACTTTGTCTCAAAAAGAAAAGAAAAGAAAAATTAGCACTCTCATTGCTGGAAGGGATGAATGATATGGAGCACAACAGAACTTCAGGCCCTTGGACACTGTTGGAGACAGCAGGAATCTCAGTGTGGAGTGAATGGGGAAGAACACAGCTACCAGCTGACTTAAGGTTGGGATCCTGGCTAAGATAAACTAGCCAGAAATGGAAAAGGAGGCCCAGAGAAGAGAGAGCTATAGCAGGCCCTACCTGGCACTAAGGGTTTAGGGAGCAGCATGCAGGCTGTTAGAGGGAGCCCAATTCACGGATCCTTGCTCAACAGAGGACAAGTACACACCCAGAGAAAAGAGCAAGAGGGACTGCAGGCAGGAAGCAAAGGTAGGTCCAAACTGTTTGAACACAGAGTCACTGGCATAGGGCCTCAGGGACTCAAAGGGTCTGAGCACAACCTCTGACCAATCACTGGCTGACTGCTCAGCTTAACTTACCCAGGGGCTTCCTTAAAAAACAAAAACAGGCTCGGCGCCT